TTGTTGATTTCTGTCGAGTCTGGCCTTTGCGTATGCTAATCCCATTTCCTATATAAAGAGTATTTTATTATTATTTTATTATTAATGTACGGTAATAATACATTCATAATCATGAAATATAATTACTTTTCTAAAGTCTCCTTGTATATTTCCGTATTCGATTGCAGGATCTGTTTGCACATCCTATATGTAAAGAAAGTTAATTAGATACATAAAAATGAGTTCATTTTAAAATTATTCGTATTTTGACGCACCATCCCTCTTTCAATCAGAGTAGTTTTAAACTCTCTAGCGAAATTTTTAACCTGATTGTTGGCACGTTGATCCAACACAAGAATGGACCAGTTGACCAACGTCCTAGTCTATTAATGTATAAGTGATTCATTAATAAACGCGTATAAACAAAAAATATTTAATAAAAGTCTGCTTACTCTAACAAAGATTTTGTTTATCAGGTTCCAGCGGCCGTTTTGAGGTACGAATTCATCTCTTGCATATCTCACTTTTGGAGTATCTAGAACTCTTCCTAAAAATAAATAATTATTGGTTAAATTTTATAGTAATAGAATTACAAAGATAAACAAAATTATAACTCGGTAATAATATATACCTTCAATGACCATCATTTTTGGGTCGATTTCTATGCCAAAATCTTTAAGATTTTCATCATTTTTATAATCAAAGATATGATGAATACCTTCTTCTATTTGACGAAATCGACCTTGAGGGGGCATAGCAGTCTTTCTTATCATGTCTGCTTTGGTCTTATCACTAAGAGATTTTTCATAGCGTTGACCTAAGATGATGAAAAGACGAAACCATTTTTTTTTTTTTTTTAAAAAAAAAAAAAAAAGAATGTATTTTATAACGTATTGCAGCCATTTACAATAAATAATAATATAAAACTTACTATTTAATATCTCGCATACTTCAAGAGGAATATAATTCTTCTTTTTATCCATGATACAAGGAAGAGATTTGAATTCAAGTCTACGATTATAATTTTTTTCAAAGTATTCGGAAACGGACATATCTCGACCTTCTTTTTCATTATTGAAATAAAGATCATCCGCAGCTTTAGAAGAGAGTCGTTCCACCTTAATTACTAATTTACGATCACCGCGATGCGTAACTCGGATTTTGATGCCTTTGAGAGCCTATGAAAAATAAATTGAAAAATGAATTAAAAAGAAATCAGAAATTTACTTAGGTGAAAATAAATCATAACTCACACGTTCAAGTTCGCGCATTTCATAATCATTAATTCCTCTTCTGAGGTCGTTGACGTTATTCTTATTCAAAATTTGTCGGCAAAATTCGGTCAAGCGTCCTGCTGGGTAAAAAAGGCCAGCACATATGTCGACATTCACCAACAT